CATATAGCCACTGCTGGGAATACAACTCAGGTAACCAGGTGCGGAGTAGAGTGCACTGATCATGACACACTGTGCTCTATAATGAAATCTACTAAAATTTGTCTACATTTTTGGAGAGCAACTTTGAAATTGTGGATTTGGGCCAGGTCAACACAACTTGATCTTGATGAGCAAGCTGCACTGCGCAGGGCACGGTTTGGCGATGCTCGATACAGACCGCCTGCTGGTGGTGGTGGCGGCAGGAGACCATCAACCAAGTTGACGTTCATCACCAGGCTGCCCAGATGTCCATGCTGCTCTGATTTACGGGATTCCCAATCGTCTCTTATTCTATACCTGTTCTCATTATCACCGCACGCCATGGGTACACTCTCAGGCTGTGCTGCTCAGGGCCCTGTGAACAGTTCGGTTTGATGCCGCGGTGTGCCTGGAATGGATCGTCCAGACCCAACCCATGTTCTCACTTCTGCATCTCTCCCTCACTGCACCAGCAGTTCCGCCCGACACGCAGTGCGAAATGTCGGACATTGCACCGAAGAATGCGCGGTGCGATCCGACAAAAAAAACAACTTCGGACATTTGTATGGCAGCAGTAAAAGAACGGCGAAAACGCACGCCGTGGCATGCTCTGTGTTCAACAAAGTGCCCTCGCGAATCGGGGCCGTACAACAGGGAGGGGCGTTGCCGCTATCCAGGGGCGAGACGTGCAAATGTCACTCTGCAGTTAATCTGACGTAATTGCATTGCAAGCAAGGATGTGGATTGAACAAGTGGGGGCCGGTTGCACGAGTTGGGGGGGGGGTGTTGATGGGCTGCATTGAGCTTCACTGTGGGGGAAGGGGGCATGGACATTCGATGAAACACGCCACGCAAGTAGAAAGGTTGTGCCTGAATCAATCAGACTTCTCAGATCGTTATAAAAAAATGGGGAGGGGGAACGGCAGCTGTCAAATCAGCATTAAGATGCGCAGAGGTGAGGCACACAGACCGTCACCCTAACTAGTCAGGCACACAGACCGTCACCCTAACTAGTCAGACACACAGACCGTCACCCTAACGAGTCAGGCACACAGACCGTCACCCTAACGAGTCAGGCACAAAGACCGTCACCCTAACGAGTCAGACACACAGACCGTCACTCTAACTAGTCAGGCACACAGACCGTCACCCTAACGAGTCAAGCACACAGACCGTCACCCTAACGAGTCAGACACACAGACCGTCACTCTAACTAGTCAGGCACACAGACCGTCACCCTAACGAGTCAAGCACACAGACCGTCACCCTAACGAGTCAGACACACAGACCGTCATCCTAACAAGTCAGACACACAGACCGTCACCCTAACGAGTCAGACACACAGACCGTCACCCTAACTAGTCAGGCACACAGACATCACCCTAACTAGTCAGGCACACAGACCGTCACCCTAGCGAGTCAAGCACACAGACCGTCACCCTAACGAGTCAAGCACACAGACCGTCACCCTAACTAGTCAGGCACACAGACGTCACCCTAACTAGTCAGGCACACAGACCGTCACCCAAACGAGTCAGACACACAGACCGTCACCCTAACTAGTCAGGCACACAGACCGTCACCCTAACTAGTCAGGCACACAGACGTCACCCTAACGAGTCAGACACACAGACCGTCACCCTAGCGAGTCAGGCACACACACCGTCACCCTAACGAGTCAGGCACACAGACCGTCACCCTAACGATTCAGACACACAGACCGTCACCCTAACTAGTCAGGCACACAGACCGTCACCCTAACGAGTCAGGCACAAAGACCGTCACCCTAACTAGTCAGACACACAGACCGTCACCCTAACTAGTCAGGCACACAGACGTCACCCTAACGAGTCAGACACACAGACCATCACCCTAACTAGTCAGGCACACAGACCGTCACCCTAACTAGTCAGGCACACAGACCGTCACCCTAGCGAGTCAGGCACACAGACCGTCACCCTAACGAGCCAGACACACAGACCGTCACCCTAACGAGTCAGACACACAGACCGTCACCCTAACAAGTCAGGCACACAGACCGTCACCCTAACTAGTCAGACACACAGACCGTCACCCTAACTAGTCAGGCACACAGACCGTCACCCTAACTAGTCAGGCACACAGACCGTCACCCTAACGAGTCAGACACACAGACCGTCACCCTAACTAGTCAGGCACACAGACCGTCACCCTAATGAGTCAGACACACAGACCGTCACCCTAACTAGTCAGGCACACAGACCGTCACCCTAACTAGTCAGGCACACAGAGCGTCACCCTAGCGAGTCAGGCACACAGACCGTCACCCTCACTAGTCAGACACACAGACGTCACCCTAGCGAGTCAGGCACACAGACCGTCACCCTAACTAGTCAGACACACAGACCGTCACCCTAACTAGTCAGGCACACAGACGTCACCCTAACGAGTCAGACACACAGACCGTCACCCTAACTAGTCAGACACACAGACCGTCACCCTAACTAGTCAGGCACACAGACGTCACCCTAACGAGTCAGACACACAGAGCGTCACCCTAGCGAGTCAGGCACACAGACCGTCACCCTCACTAGTCAGACACACAGACGTCACCCTAGCGAGTCAGGCACACAGACCGTCACCCTAACTAGTCAGACACACAGACCGTCACCCTAACTAGTCAGGCACACAGACGTCACCCTAGCGAGTCAGGCACACAGACCGTCACCCTAACTAGTCAGACACACAGACCGTCACCCTAACTAGTCAGGCACACAGACGTCACCCTAACGAGTCAGACACACAGACCGTCACCCTAACTAGTCAGGCACACAGACCGTCACCCTAACTAGTCAGACACACAGACCGTCACCCTAACTAGTCAGGCACACAGACCGTCACCCTAGCGAGTCAGGCACACAGACCGTCACCCTAACGAGCCAGACACACAGACCGTCACCCTAACGAGTCAGACACACAGACCGTCACCCTAACAAGTCAGGCACACAGACCGTCACCCTAACTAGTCAGACACACAGACCGTCACCCTAACTAGTCAGGCACACAGACCGTCACCCTAACTAGTCAGGCACACAGACCGTCACCCTAACGAGTCAGACACACAGACCGTCACCCTAACTAGTCAGGCACACAGACCGTCACCCTAACGAGTCAGACACACAGACCGTCACCCTAACTAGTCAGGCACACAGACCGTCACCCTAACTAGTCAGGCACACAGACCGTCACCCTAACTAGTCAGGCACACAGACCGTCACCCTAACTAGTCAGGCACACAGACCGTCACCCTAACTAGTCAGGCACACAGACCGTCACCCTAACTAGTCAGGCACACAGACCGTCACCCTAGCGAGTCAGACACACAGACCGTCACCCTAACGAGTCAGACACACAGACCGTCACCCTAACTAGTCAGGCACACAGACCGTCACCCTAACTAGTCAGGCACACAGACCGTCACCCTAACTAGTCAGACACACAGACCGTCACCCTAACTAGTCAGGCACACAGACCGTCACCCTAACTAGTCAGGCACACAGACCGTCACCCTAACGAGTCAGACACACAGACCGTCACCCTAACTAGTCAGGCACACAGACCGTCACCCTAACGAGTCAGACACACAGACCGTCACCCTAACTAGTCAGGCACACAGACCGTCACCCTAACTAGTCAGGCACACAGACCGTCACCCTAACTAGTCAGGCACACAGACCGTCACCCTAACTAGTCAGGCACACAGACCGTCACCCTAACTAGTCAGGCACACAGACCGTCACCCTAACTAGTCAGGCACACAGACCGTCACCCTAGCGAGTCAGCCACACAGACCGTCACCCTAACGAGTCAGACACACAGACCGTCACCCTAACTAGTCAGGCACACAGACCGTCACCCTAACTAGTCAGGCACACAGACCGTCACCCTAGCGAGTCAGGCACACAGACCGTCACCCTCACTAGTCAGACACACAGACCGTCACCCTAACGAGTCAGGCACACAGACCAACACCCTAGCGAGTGGATTGCAGAATCCAAATGCACTTGCTGCTGAGAGCAGTGGAGACAAAAGTGGTTATGGAAGTCGTCATCCAAAGTGCTCGTGGGGTTTCCGCGATGCCATGTGCTCACTCAGCCTTCTGTGCAAACCTGGTGTGGTTTATAAACATCAGCGATGCGCTTGTGTGGGTGTCAAGTGATCGCAGAGGGAGGGACAGGCACTGGAGGCGATGTGACAGCTCGTGCAGTGGACTACACGATGACAAAGGCAACCGGTGTCAGGAGCTGGTGTCAGTGTCACCAGGCCGAGTCGCACTGAAACGGCCACGCACAGAATCAGCAGTCAGGCATCTCTCAAACGACCCTCGTCCTTCTCTGGGTTGTCTCTGGTTTATAACTTATAAGATGAAAATATCTTAAAAATAAAAACCTAATGTAGTAGAACCCTCCCGAAATATGCGAGTAGGTATACGCATCGAACGTTGAGACAGACTAAGTGTGTGGGGAGCGGTGACCCGGCGGTTTCTGCACCATGCTGCAAACCTGACAACGTGAGTTTGATTCCCAGCCACAGGCAACTTCAGTGGCGAGTGATATCTAAACTGTTTTTCTCCTTGACCAGCATAGCCTTATATTCGTACACGGTGGTGTGGTTTATAAACATCCACACTGGCAGTCAGCCATGGTGTTGGCCGAAGTATTAGTGCAGTGGTTAGCGTGCTGCGCTACAAACCGGGTGACCTAAGTTTGATTCCCGCTCACGGCCAATATCGGTGACGAATATCTAAACCGGTCCACGGACTCCCGTAGGCCGACTCAGCCTCAAATGAGTTGCTGGCGCGGTGCGGTGCTGGTCACCCACCCTCATGTGCCCTGTTCCGGCCTTCATAAGTGCTCGCAAGCAGCACTTGCCCCAGGAGTTTGTTGAGGCTATATGGGGAATATTTGTTGTTGTGTATTTGTATTGGGTGCTTTATTTATCACCTGGCGAATGTGGAGGTGGAGCACAGAGCAGGTAGGCCCCCTTGTTCTCCCACACCCTTGACTGCTCTCTCCTTTCCACAGGGAACGCGTTGAGATCTGGGAATACATTGAGTCCACCGTTACTGCTCACAGCATATGCACAGAAAAAAACACCCCCATAAAGAATGGCATAAAACCAAATAAAAAAAAACAGCATTCATAATATACCTCCTTAAGGCATGATCACAGGCAGTCGACTTGAGCATCTCAGAGTAATGATAATCTTTGAAGGTGACCTCGTTTAATTCTGCCTGGTTTTTCTCAGGGACATGATGGCTGGGACAAGTTCATACTGACGATGACTACGACCTCCTCGCTGTGGTCAACGTGACTTCTTAAGCAATGGGCTGGTTGCTGAAAATGTGATGTCATGAGCAATCACAGTCATAGCCGCCATAAGAATGCTGATCGAATATTTGTTGACGAGGCGATAGCTTCTGAGTACAAACATCTTATTTGAAGATCATATTTTGGTGCTCAATGCTGGGCCCACATAGTTGCAGCCTGCAACTTGCACGTGCTGTTCACGCTGGGCTTTGGACTGCGGGACTGGCACGCAGCAGGCTCATCTGGTTAACGCCACTACAATGTCTTTTACTTCAAGGCAACATTGACTTGAAGGCACACAACACGCTTTTGCGATGCCCTTCAGGCAGCACTGTTTATCTTTTAAAGTATAAAACCAAGAACTGGACGCTGTGAGATGACAACACCCGATTTTCGCGGGTGTCCCAATGGGATTGGAATAGAAAGCAGCAACCATTAACAATGCTAAGAGGCCCACAATCATGCCAAGTCTGCGCCTGCAGCTCAAGCAGCCTCTCTCTCCAGGCCTGTCCTGGCAGGACAAAGCGTGACGCCCACCTGCCCTGCCTGGTCCATTGCCCAATCTTGCAGCTCCATTGGCAGTTCAGTATCCTGTCAACTGAGCACTGGTCTGGCTGCGTGTTAAGTGAGTGTTGAGTCAAGATTTGTAAGTGATGCCGGCCGGCGTTAGCGAAGGTCTGTGACCGTGGTATAAATTCGAGGTAGATCCGATATGGCAGTGGCCTGAATACATTAATAATGGGTACAAGGTGTGGCTCTTTAGCATTACCCTGCCCTGTGAATCATTCTACAATTACGTGAAACTAAGTTGATGGTGTCAAGCTGGCTTCAATACATTCAAATTCCCAATATCTCACACTGCTATTTGAACTAAGATCGCCCTTGCAATGCCTCCTGCAAGCGAGGCCTTCCCTGCCCTACCTAATCATTACGATTACCCTCGGGTGGGCAGTGGTGGAGGGGTGGTTGGCACGCCAAGCTAAAATGCAGGCGAACTGAGTTTAATTCCTGGCCATGGCCATTGAATAACATCAATGGCGATTTGTCAAAGGACCGCACACTTCAACAATCCACATTGACCAGCGTGGTGAAGCATGGTCAAATAACCCTCAAGACCGAAATGGCATATTTAGGACTTAATCGAAGCTATAGATTACTAAAGGGCTATAAATTAAAAGTAACTCTAAACCAATGAATCCCGTGCATGTGGAGGCGAGGAGAGAGGAGAGGGTAATGGTTAGCAGGGATACGTCCATGGAGGGTCTAAGTAGACAGTGTGGTCTTGGTAGATGATCCATAATTAGATAAATGCTCCACAAAACTCTGGTTAAATGTATCTGCATAATGTGGGGCACACAGAATGTAAAATAGCTACCAGCAGCAATGCAGTGTAATGTCTGAAAGAGACCAATGGCACCGTGAAGTTAAGGTTGTGTCTGGAGAACCACACATGGTGGGGGTCTTCAGCGTGCAGCGCCCTAGGGAGCCACGCTAAAGACCCACCGTGTGTGGTTCCCCAGCCACAACCTTAACGTGCCATGCACATAACACCACACTTAAATAAACAAAAAACATAAACACGTGCACTGCACAACACACAAACCATACTAACACGCACCCTACCGCTCCCACACACAACACACTGTTAATTGCATGCCTATATACGACATTATACTGATTAACTTTGACTAACCTAACCAGTAACATGTATAATTTCATACATAGTCCATTATAAAATGTATATGAATACATTAACCCCCCGTGTCCTTCTCACGTGCAGGCGCACAGTGATGATATCAGCTTGCCCTATTAAAAAAGAACCAGGAAGACATCTTCACAATTCTGGCAAAACACTTGATGATGATGCTTGCAAACACTAGCGAAATATTGTACTAAATAGGACATGTGTCGTGGGCTTGCTGTTTAACACACCACCGGCGTGCTGAAGTGATAGTAAATTGGCACGTTTTGTTCACATGACAACCCTAATAATTGGCTGTGGCGAGTGTATGGCACGTTTACATTTACGTGAACTAACCCAAAAATCTCGTGGATAATATTTGTCACGAATGCGAAAGTGTTAAATCTACTAGTTGATTGAAACGTTGCGCTGCGCTTTATCTGACATGCCCAGGGTATTTGTTTAGCGCAAGACTGATGAGCCTCTGGCGGGCAAAACCCATACCAAGTGTGTTGAAACAAAATGCTGATCAGATGCTGGACATCTGTGAAAAATGCCGAGGACTGTGAAGAAGAGCTTCATATCTCATCGGATTTCGCGTGGATAAATAAAAAGCCTGATTCTGTGATTGGTAGCATAAGTCTAGAAGGTGATGTATGCACAACTCTCGCATGGCTGCTCTATGATGCTCGGTGAGATTCTCAAGGAGGCAAAAGGCAATGTTTGTGTCTGCGTGAGTCTCAAGCAAACCTCACACACAGACAAACAGGCGCGCCATGGAACATTTCACCCCTTGGCGATTTGATTAACTTTCACGAATCCGGGTCACGATTTCATTCTATTCGTTTCATCTTGGTTACGCTGTCTCATTTGTATTGTCCACATCATGTGCCTGGTGTTGTTCTATGGTCGCTTTCTGATAGTTTATATCATATGCCCCTTCTTTATATTCATATAATACCATCATTGATTTGATGTTTGCTTTTATCACTATCATCGGGCATGGTTGTTCCACTGCTGGATGAAGGCTTTCCCATGCCCTCAGCATTCTCACGGTCCTGCAAATCCACAATCCATCTCCTACGTCATAGCTCCATCGCCTCTTTCCTTTGGCTGCTCTTCAATCACACGTATATTTCATTGGCCATCATCCGTTATATATATAAAACGTTCTTACCAAAGCCTACTTTTACGAAGTCAATATAATATCTCTGATTTGTATTCTTGGTTCTTTCGGTAAAGTCACGTAGAAGGGAAAAAAATATATATATATAAAACAATAAAATTCTCACGACGTTTCGACTGCAACACAAGCAATCATCATCAGGTGTGAAAACCACAGAAAGAAAATTTGCTGTGGTTTTCACACCGATGTAGTGTTGTAAGGACGAGCAGACTTCTTTAGGAGGCACACTCTGTTTATTGTATTATTCCTTATACAACGCTTAACACACACAGAGGGATATTCGGTCCCCTCACCCGATACCCTAGGGAGGTACAGCCTCCGGACCTGGCGGGACTCACACGTCTACCGCTAACCTCCTTGATACCTAAGGAGGTACAGCCTCTGGACTTGGCGGGACTTACACGTCTACCGCTATCCTCCTTGATACCTAAGGAGGTACAACCTCCGGACTTGGCGGGACTCACACGTCTACTGCTATCCTAGTCCTCCGGCTAGGACTTAGGGAAAGCTATCTGACCCACTGCTAGCCTGGTGGGTCCTGACCACTGGGTATGCCGAGCCTTAGCCCTTAGAAGGGCTGGAAGGCTGGTCCAGGGTCCTAGCTAGGCTTCAGCCCAGTCTTATATCTTCGTGCAGAGAGAGAACTCCCCGAGGTCCGTTGGGTCACCCGTCTTATACTCCTTCGTGGCCAGGTAGAACCAATCATACATTCCCACGTGGAACCGTCTGATTGGTTCGTACCAAACCCTGGCCACGATCTGTTTCACCTCGACTGACCCCAACCGTTGTACCCAGGGGTAATGCTGCACTGCCCTGGTGGCAATGCAGGTTACGCAACAGCGCATAGTTAACACCTCTACACCTACAACAAATGATCTTGCTGTGGTTTTCACACCTGATGATGATTGCTTGTGTTGCAGTCGAAACGTCGTGAGAATTTTATTGTTTTATATTTTTATTATTTTATTGTTTCCCTTCTACGTGACTTTACCGAAAGAACCAAGAATATGAATCCCTGCAGTCACGAAAGCTTTAAAACAAAATAAAATCTCTGATTTGCATTTCTTCCATGATTCATGCGTCCCTTTGCTTGTCTCTGAACGTAATTGAAAGCATGCATCTCTCCGTGCTTTTTTGCACATTTTACGAATGTGTTTTCTGCCCATGTTCTTTGTCATTATCTATGTTTCTGATCCGTATGTCGTCGCAAGTAATATACACTTCGCGACTATTCTGCAGGCACACACCAGTAGAAGGCATCACATTGCGCTTTCCAAAAGCACCCTATCCTAGACTTGCTCATTTCATCAGTCCTTTCACATCCACCTTCGATAATCTCTCGAGGAACAAATAAATAAATGCAGCCGTTTTTGTCAGTTGCAGCCCTCCAACAGTCACTGGCTCGTCGTACGTGACTCGTTTTGCTAAAAAAATGTTTTTATCTTGAGCTCAAATTATGCAGCCTTCTTTGTGAAAGCTTTCAATCCAGGCATTACATTCGACTCGCCCTCTTAAAGCATCGAGTCACGAGTGGACATCCGCTAAACCAGTGAGACTCACTCCTCAACTCGTGTCAACTGTTCGCGACTTGCGGAGCCATTCAACCATTCAGTTCTCACCACGAGTCTGCACAGTTTGTTGCCCACGACAGCCCATTTGCTTAGCCGTCTGCATTGCCAAAAACAATTATCCGTACCACGTCTCCCATCTGTTCCCACGGAATGCAGAAATGAGATGTTCAGTGTAATTTCCAGTATGGTCCTGGGAGCGGCAATGGATCGGAATTGGGCAAAGTCAGACGGTACTCCCCCCCCTCTCTACTTCACGGTCCTCTTCCAATTCTCCCCACACTCCTAACGCTTC